TTGTTGCTTTCCTTCCTAGCGTGTCTGTGTGCAAGAAATGGAAAGAAAGCAACAGTGGCAGTACATCAGACACGTCAGTGGAGAGCAGAGCAGGGCACCCACGCAGAGAGCGGGACAAAAGACAATCCGGAAGGGACAGCACGGAGGACCATCGCCCACACCAGCCCTCTGACACACACAGACACCATCGCAGCGCTGTCAGTCCGCGGGTGAGAGGATTCGGCCCTCCACACAACAAACGCGCACACCGCCAGCAGTCACACACAATGGACGGGGAAGAGAAGGGACACACCGCCACCGCCTCCAGTTCAGTCCCACGGCCAACGGGATACAGCCACAGCCCCGCAGCCAACAAACACAACGCACACGGAGCAAGCAATCACCCAAAGAGCCACACGCAGAAGCGATTCCTCATCCACCCACGACGCGGCGCATCACTCCATGCGGTCACAACGCAGCGCCCCCACACCATCAGGAAGAGACACTCGCCCTGCGCGCTCCCTCCCTCTCCCTTCTCTTCATGCCCACGGGAAAAAGCGGTACCCACACGCTGCTGCCGCACGCACCGCAAAAGAACCATCCGAATCCACCGTGATTTGCACTATGTGTGCGTGTGCTTGTGCGTGCCTGCAGAAACACGAGGTAAAGAAGTAAAAAAAGAAACGGGGCATGTGAAGAAACGCAAAACAAAATGTACAGCAGAGCCGCAACGTAGAAATAACAAGACTGCTCAAACTCACGATTGCACCGCAGCCCAAGCAGTGGCGTGTCATACAAGATTTATTTAAAGCAATTACCAAAAAAAAAAGAAACTTCCCCTTTCACCATTATCCTCCCAGCCCCGCACAAAGTAATTAAATAAGAAGAAAAAACGCAAGAAAGAAGTCGTCCTCCATTACTGTTACTCCTAAAAAAAAAATATCACCTGTTTACCGTATGGCCCACCAGACTGTCTGTATATTTTGCCCGCAAAATAAAATTAAAAGATATTTAAATGTCTTTCAACCGTCCGACCCTCTGCGTGTCCGCACATCGTTTATATTTCATGGGTCATCTGCGTGTTGCCGCTCCCCTCAGCCCTCTCATCGGCGCGTGAGTGCGGCCCGCAGAGCACAGTCACTCGTGTGTGGAGGCTGAGAGAAGCACGCAGACACGACAGGAGTCGCGTCTCTCCATCGGGGGAGTGAGCGCAGCAAAAAAGAAAAAACACATCAGGGGGAGAAATACCCATGAGGCCGACCCCGAAGAGGCTGCCAGCGCGTGAAATGCACACGCAAAGCAAAAAAAAATCCTAAAAACACGGCGGCAGGGTGTGGCTGTGTGCGTGGCGCTGCGGGTGTCTGCCCGCCCTGGCCGCTAAAAAGCAAAACAAAACAAGAGGGAAAGAAATGTGTGCTCCGCCCCACAGGCCCTCGTCGCACGCCCACACGTCACGGCCCCCTCAGCGCGCCGTTCGTCGCGGCCCCTCCTCATGCGTGCAGCAGGCGAGGCGCACAGGGCCGTCGTCGTGAGCGTGTCGGTGGGTGTGCGAGTGGAGCAGTTGGGCGGGAAACACACGGCACCCCTCGCAGGAAGAGTGCAGAAGAAACAATTAAAGAGGGAAGAGTAGAAAAGAAAAACGTCCATAATGGTTGCCCCCAAAAGCAAAAAGAGAAGGGAAGAGTGGAGCAAAAAAGAAAAAACAGAAATAAAAATTTTAAAGCAAACAAAAATAATTAAAAACAAACATAAAAAACATAAGAAATTATACTTCGAACAGAAAAGAAAATTTTTAAGCCGAAAAAAAAAACGTCCATGGTGGTTGCCATAAATCAAAAGGCAAAAGAAGGAAGGTACCAAATGAAAAAAGAAAATTGTTATTTGCAAGGTGAAATTTGTTCCTAGCGGTGCGTGTGTCGGTGCAGGGAAGGGCGCAAGTGTTCCACACGGCAGCCGCACACTCCTCACGCAGCCGCAAACCCCCACAGCCCCAGCAGAAGAAGCAGCGGCAGCAATCCGCTCTCACGCATAGTGCCAGCAACGCTGTTATCCCACTGCGACGAATTTAAAAGGCTGCTGCTGAGTGTCGCCGCCTCTGCTTCATTGACCTGTGGATGGAGCCCATCTTGTCCCTTGCCTTCAGCGTTATGTGTTGCTGCATTTGCTGCGTCGGGGGTGCCCACAGAGAATTGGGCTGGTTGATCTGCCTGCATCATATCTCCACCTTCCGTCCCCACCGTTTGTGCATCATCAGATGAGGAAGCACCAACATCAGTACTGGCGGCGTCTGAAGATGTAACAGATGCCGGCTGGTCCGCAGTTCCCTCCCTTGCTGGTTCGGGCTCTTCTGGCCTCGACTCCGCTGGTTCGGGCTCTTCTGGCCTCGACTCCGCTGGTTCGGGCTCTTCTGGCCTCGACGCTGCTGGTTCGGATAGAGCGCCACCACTCGGAACACTGCTCGCGCTCAAACTTTTTTGGTCCGTCGGCTGTGGTCCGGCAGTAGCAGGCGATGGCACAGTTGGCTGTGTATTTTTGGCAGCCGGAGTGGTCAATGGTTCAACGGACGAAGAAGTAGCTGCCGCCGCCGGCACCGGCTTCCTTTCCGGAGGTGGAATGGTGACTTTACTCGCGTTGAGGGCGCCAATCTCAGTTTCATTCAACGGGCGGTTGTACAGAAAGACGTTCGCCACCGTCGCATGGATCTTTCCGCTGCTCAGCTGCTCATCGTACGCGCCAAAGTAAAAGTGTGAGACCGTGTCCAGCCCTTCATTGAACGAATTTTTCAGCCTCATATTCCAAAGGAGAGTCCCGTCAACGTACACGGAGCCCATACCGTCATGCATTTTGAGCACCACGTGATACGTCTTGTCCACCTCCCATGCGGTAAAATGCTTCGGGAACAAGTCATTCACCACTCTCCACTCCATATTCTTATCGTACGACAGTCCCAGGAGTGTTGTCGTCCCCATTTTCTTCAGGCCCATCAGGGGAGTGATGCCCTTCGGCACCTCGTGGATCGACACCGTTGCCGCAAGAGTAAACCCATAGTTTGCAAAGTGGAGTGGTCTGGTCGGCCACTGCTTGTCCACAGGCCATTCGGCCCCCGCGCCTTGCCCTTCGAACGTCAACCCACTGGGAACCTTTTTCGTCGCACCCCTCACAACGGCATTCACCCCAAGGTACTCGTCCTCCCACTTGTGCCCGCTGAACCTGTCTGCCAAATGGCCCACAAGCCCAGCCGTGGGGAAAGGAACAGAACAGCCCCATCTTGACAGCGCGGCGTCTGAGGCAATTGAGCTGCATTGTCTCGACAAGGCATTGTCCTTCGCGGCCCAAGTATCCAGCGCATGCCTTATCCTCTGCAGCTCAGACGTCAGATCCAGGAAGAAGGCTCCAGAGTCGCTTCCACCACTGGCCTCGTACAAACAATACAGCTTATCATCCGCGTACAACAGAGAGCTGGAGGTCGCGCCATACCCAGTGGCTAACAGGCCAACGTGGTAAATGCGGTTCGTGTCCGTTAGCCACAAACGAATCTCGCTCTTTCGGTTGTCCCTGAAATATTCCAGCTGGGTGAGGAGGATCACCTTCGTTCCATCAATCGTTGCGGTGATGAATCCACTCTGAATGTGGAGCCCAAGACCTGCCAATGAGTTGCTCCACACGCGCGAGAGCGTCCCCAGAGCCTCCGTCCACGTGTTCCCCTTGTCAGTCGACTCGTACACTCTTCTGTGGCCGTACTCACATGAGGTGATCATGATAATTTTCCCAGCCTCCCATTCAAGGATAATGGGGTTGGTGCAGCCCGCATGTGTCGCGCTGTTCGCAAAGGTCCAGTGCTGTTGACGGGGATTCAAGTACATGATTGTGGACGCAGTGCTCCCTCCCATTGTCAGAAACTGCACGGGAAACACGAGCGTGCCATCCGTCATTTTCGTGATGGGAGTACTGGCATCGTTGAGGAAGCCAATCAATCCGTCGGATTTATAGGGATAAGGAAGGCGAATGCTCATAGAGACGGAACTCATCGAAAAACCTCCGCTTCGTCCAGGCCCCGTCCCCAGAAAATGGATAACAGACTCCACACCACTTCCTCCCCACCAATTGGCATAATGAGGTCTGACTCCCTTCCGTAAGTCGTAGCCCTCCACAAATGCAAAAAGCGGTCCGAAGAGTCTGAAAGGCGTGGTAAACAACATCTGGTGAAGGCGTGCAGCAAAAGCGTCAACATCTCCAGGTCTCGAGTACGGACTCCAATTCACCCCATCATCATTGCTGATCCGTGCCATCAACTGCATGGACGCACTCCCGCTCCCCACAGTTCTATTGAACTGAGCTCCAACAATGGCCAGAAGCATCCCGTTCACATTCACAAGATGGGGATTGCGGAAAATGTGGCCAGGGACCGGTGGGTTTGCGACTGGATACTCCCTTTGCGACTGCTCCGAACTGTGTCCTCCATAGTAATCGCCCACTGTCGTTCCATAGCTTTGGGCCTGCACAGGACCCACGGCGGCGCACGTCAACGCGAAAAGGAGAAGCAGCACCGCGGAAGTAAACACACGCCGGGACATGTTGGGCCTCTGCCGCTCACTCTCTCCTCCTCCCCTCCTCCTTCCGCTGGATCCGGTCACGCAGCGACGGTTGTGTGTGCGGGGTGCCTTCACTGCAGCAACACGTGAGAGCATGTGAATATATGTGTGTGGGCGGTGTGTGTGCTGTTGTTGGAACTTTCAGTGCCTTCGAATTTCACAGTGGCGATTCGCGTTTGGTTGCTTGCTTTCCTAGCGTGTTTGCATGTAGGAGGGAAGAGAAAAAGGGAAAAAAGCCAAGTAAAGAGGTGAGACGGTGAGCACCGCCACCCATCCACACTGTAACTGGCATCAAAATAAACGCTGCCGCAGTTATCCTCTCCCCATCGCTAAATAATGGGAAGGCTAAAAATAAAAAAACGACATAACAACAAGAAAAGAGACCTTATATGTATGCGCATTGCCATGGCCTGTGTTCTTTTCACTGTCTCACTGTAACCCATCAATTGCGGTTCGTAATCGCTCTAACGCAATTGCAGAAGAAAGAGCCCCATTGAGACCACGCTGCACCTTCCTCGCAAGACGGTCAGGATGAACAACGTATGCAATTCGGCGCGCTTTTTTCACAATTTCACGCTGAAACGACGCCCCCTCTTCCGGAACAACGAGGACTATCCCGCGGTAACCCTCATTTGCGGCGTGCTGAACGGCTGCATGCACGGAATCAGAATCATCCAGGTATACATCAGTCCCTATCAGATGTGAGGCGTGAAAAGTCATCATGGGGTGATCGGGATTCATCCCATGACTGCACTGAAGCCACTCCTGAAAAAGCGAGCTCTCAGGCCGAATAAACGTGGCGTCCTCGTCACCGTTTGGGTCCTCATAAATCTTAAGATACGGATAGTACTGATAAAGCAACCAAATGGTGTACCCCTCAAGAGACTTTTGGCATTGCGCATCATCAACGCCCGAGTAAAATAACGTATTTATGAGGTGCTGCGTGCCAAGTGCCCCGCGGCGGTTAAATTTCCGCCGATGGAGCACAATCATTTGCTCACAATTAAAAACATTCGCGTTGCGCATGATCGCACCGATGTTTCGGTCGCCAAATTCATTGTACACCATGACAGACAGCTGCATTGGATAGGACATGCGCCTCGCTCTGAGGATTTCGGCAATTTCCGCATTTGAAAGTGACAAAAGATTTGTTTCATGAGGGAGGTTATCCCCTTTTGTCACCTTCAGACTTCCATTGCTCAGTGGCATATGACCTCGTGATGAACATGGAGAAACTCTGTCGTCATCCCTCATACATTGCTCAACATGTGCACTGGCTGCAGAATGCAAGGCGATAGCCATGGCAGAAATCATCGATAGGGAGCCAATCGATCCGTACTGGGGTATATAAAGGCAGTAGTCACACTGTGAAACAACATTCTCGGACAAACCATTCTCCATCCCAAGCACAATCTCCACACCACCGTCACAGTCCTCATTGTCTGTGCGCCTTTCCCCCGCCTCGCGAATGACTTTTCTCCATGGAAAGCTTTGTACTGGCTGTGCATCAGGATGAGAGGGGGTGAGAGCCACTTTTGGCTTGTATCGCGAAAGGCTTGCCCCGACTTCGGCATGCATGTAAAACAAACGGTTTCCCCCGTAAATGATGTCCATGGAGGGTGTGGTGTTGACAAGTGGACTCAATATTTTGGGGTGCCCGGTGCCAAAGAACATCGCGAGGCGCAGAAGGCACCACGCATTGTACGCAAATTTGATGTCCTCCACCGTTAAGCTGACAGATCCAAGCAGCGGCAAGAGGGACTTCCGCTGCGGCCAGTTAATGGAGTAGGCCCATGCATCAAAGTCACGCTTGAGTAGGCAAACAGCCGACCACTTCATTGGTTTCGCTTGACCCCCGCTTAAACTTTGCCTGCGTCTACAAACTCCCCAAAGGGCAAAAGGTAAAAGAAAAAAAAAAAAAAACAATATTCAATAAATAAACAGGCACGCTAAGTGGAGACAACTCAACAGCCAGCGTTCGCACGAAGAGCCCAAGGAAAAAAAATAATAACAATAATACCGGTGGAAATGTCTCATCTGCTCTGTGGATGATCGTGTGAGTGTGTATGTGTGTGTTTGTCTCTTTCTATTCACGGCGCCTCACACGAGTTCCTCGGAGGAGGTCTTGAATAAGCACCCGCGATGGGTCGTCGTACGGCACATCCTGCGGCACCAAAAGGCAATGGGAACGAGCGGGAGTCGCAAGACGCACGTCCACAGCAGAGTTACCCTCAATAGGATCAGAAACCGGCAACCGCAAAATGGGCGCTCGTTCCAATAAAATTCCCGTTGAAGCGGAAACTGGTGTCTTCGAGCGCAAGGAATCCACAAACTGAAAGTGGTTTCGTGATGCAGCAAAACGCCGCAGACGCGCCACCGCCTCCACGTAACCTGTTGGCACATATGCGGAAGGTCCAGTGGGTTCTTGCCTCTCCACATGGGGAGTGGGTGCTGCGGCCTCCAGACGATCCACAGATGCCGGTTCAGGGCCTAACTTTGCCGTGTATGACTTCGTCGGTTTGTTCCAGCTCTGAGCAGTAAATGACATATGTCGAGAAATCGGTTTCGTCAAGGGCACACCATCCTCTGGTTTCATACTTGCTTTGGTTAATACCACGGTCCCTCCTCCTTCTCCTCCGGTTGTTGTTCTTGTTTCTAAATTAGATGTCGGTGGTGGCGACGCTCTTTTGCGCCTCCTTTCCGCATCCTCTATAAGGCGGCGGAAAACCCCTCCCGTTGTTGTTTTGGGTGATAGGGAACGCCCACGTTTGGGTGAACGCTCTAGCGCGTTGTTCCGCCGCTGCGGCAATGAATTGGAGCGGGAACGTCTCAAACTTGAGAGTGTTGGCGATGCAAAGCGCACGTTTCGCGGTGTGGCGGCATGGCTCTTCCCCGCTGAAAGATCCCGCGGCCGCCTTGAAGAAATCGCAGCCTTTGGTGCTGGCCGGGATTCTTTCTCCTGACCTGAATGTTGCTTCAACTCTTGCGGTTGTGGGGGCTGTGTCTCGCGAGCCTCGGACGTGGAATCACAAGGCGCCCTGGCGAGCCCGTCAGTCTCATGTTGCTGCGGCGTCAAAGTGTCTTTTCCCCCATGCAAGTGCCTGCGCGGTGCCGGTTTGGGAATCACGACAGAATCGCCGCGCAGGTGTTCATAAAGGCATTGCGCGGCCCATGGCAAGTCATCGACAAAAGAGGTCGGTCGGCCTCGCACCATGTCGTACCAGCAGTCGTCCAGGCGCTCCATGTCCCACGCACAGCCAAGCCGCTGCAGCAGCGGCCCCAAGTCACAGTACCGCAACGCCCCAGCGAAGCCACCCTTCTCCCGTGCCTCAGAAATCAGCTCGACCACCTGCGCAGGAACAAGCCTCATGGATGCCGGCTCCGTCTGCAGGGACGCGGAACTCGAAGGTGAGGGGGGACTTCGGCCGCGGCAGCCCTCCGGAATCTGCATTTGGCGCCCCACCCACCACGCCGCTCCTCCCTTTTTCACCCCAGACGTGTCTCTCAGCTCCGCAAGGCGAGAAGTAGAAGTAAATACCGGGCAACACGCCGTAAACATGAAAAAAAAGGAAAAGAAAAGCAAACAAAAAAAAAACGTGGCGAAGTTTAAATTTAAAAAAAAAAAAGAAAAAAAAACCAACACATCCCGCACCCCCCACCACCCACGCAAAAGTGAAAAAAGAAAAGAAAAGAAACCACGTGTGGTCCAAATAAATTTTGCACTTCTTTTTGCTTCTTTTTGTTTTTTATTTAATGTCTTTCATTTTTTTTTTTTGTCTTTTATTTGTTTTGGTTCTTTTCTTCTCTCCGCCTCTTCCTCGGCCCCGTCGTTGCTGTTTTTTTTTTTGTGTTTTTGTTTTTGTTTTTTCATTAGGCGGCAGTAAATGCGGGATGGAGACATCGACCTGAGTACGTCTTGAACAGGCGGTGAATTTCAGCCACCACCAACCAGGCGTCCACAATTCGCCTTGCCTCCGTCCAGCTTGTGGACGCCCGTAATTCATATTCCTCCTGCACACAGACACGTGCCTTAAACAAATAATAATCCCACGGTACCTCCCCACCAAGGCACGTCTGTGCGTTTGGGCTTGTGATCCACGGCCGTAGCCACTCCTCCACGTCTACAATGGACTCCTTCTTCTTATGTCTCCTGCCTTCACCGCCATCCCCTGCTAGGGAAGTGTATTCATTGTAAAAGTGCAGTGCCTTACTACTTATGAACGTTGTGGCCGTCTCATCAAAGTTCAAAAGAAGGAAAAGTAAATTGTTCCACTCATTGTCATCGAGAAAAGCCACAAGGCGTTCACACTCGGTCTGTATGCGTGTCACGATACACTGCTGAAGAAAAACATGATTCCCAGACTCTTCCGCCTCGGTGAGAGTAGGGGCGGTGGAGACTGCGGCAACAACACTTTTCATCAGGCCGGAAGTAAACTCCAACTCCGCCACACTTAAGTAAGTTGCTCGATCTTCGTAAACAATACATGGTGGACCTCCCCCATCCACTCCCTGTGCCGCACCCGCAGCTACATGTACACCAAAAAACTTATGCAACACGGGTTTACCCTCCAAGCCCAAAAATACACCCAAAGGACTTCCCCGGCATGCTAGGTATCGGTTGATGATTTCCTCTTTGCCACAATGAGACCCTTCCCCGATTCCCTCCTCGCTGTGTTGCCTCTTCCAGCTCCCTGTGTAGCATTGCCACACCCGTGCACAACGCATCGCAAACAGTGCCACGCTGGCGACAAGAAGAATATACAACTTTTCTCTCTTATATGCAAATGAGCCGATGGATAAATGCTCATTCCAATGCCGGAGCAACGCATCCACAGTCGTAATTCGTTTTCCGTCTAAGCAAAAAAGATACTCATAAATGGGTGGGTTCACCGTTAAGTAAGTTCGACATTTGATCTGGAGGCACCGCTCCTGTCCAAACTCCCGAAGCTTCTTGTCGACAATACGCGCCACGCTTGCAATAGGGAGATCGTTGTGTTTGCATATTTTTTCCACGTACAACTCAACAAACCCGGGTGGGGAGGCTTCCTCAATGGCCCGCTTCAGCCGCTCGGCGTGCTCAAACGGCACCACATCGTCCAGTACGCCATGCTGGATGATGATAGGACAACGAACCTGTGGAATCACATCAATCGTGCGAAACCAGTCATAGCCTAGAAAGCTCACAATGGAGCCGACGTTCCTTGTAATTTCGTTGGCGCACCCCTTCAGTGAAGTAAAAGGAGACTGCAACACCAACAACGCGGGTGTTTCACATTCGTCCTGTAAACTAGCACACAGCTGTGCGGCAGGACCTGTTCCAATAGAGCGGCCCATGAGAACAATTCGATTGGGTGGTACATGAAGATGTCGAAGAGCGTAGCAGTACGCGGAGAGCATATCCTCGTTCATGGAATGCTCGGTCGTATCGCCGTGTGAGATGCCGTAGCCGGTGTACTCAAAAAGCAACACCGATGTAGAGGCACGTTTACTAAAGTAAGAAAGCTCTTCCACCATCATGGCCATGTCAACTGCATTCGTGTGAGCATAAATGACAATGTACTTTGCTGTCGGGTCGAGAAGTAACAACCCGTAGGTGAAACTGCCATTCTCTTTACGTGTTCGCCATTCAACCCTAGGGATGTGAAGCAGCTTGCCAAGATGGTCGCTCGTGCCGTAGCTCGGGCTAGGCTTCGGCAGAATGATGGACTTGACAATGGCACCAAAGAAGGACGTCATCCCTCTTTCTTTCTTTCTCCCTCTCTCTCTCTCTCTCTACCCACCCCCCTTCCCTGCAGAGTGGAATGAAGCCCCGCAAGAAAGAGAAAAATGAAAAGAAAAAAAAGAATTAAAAAAAAAGGAAAATTATAAAACAAGCAATGTGTCCATCACAATTCAACCACTCACGGGCACACTTGTCTTTTTTGCACAGAAAAAAAAAAGAAAGGCGTTAGACATCACAAGGCTCCCCGAGCGAATGGCTCAATACCGAGACGAAAGTCCTTGTAAGTGATGGGACAAATATGCTCATCTTCCATACACGCCTGGTGTACCACGACACCGTTTGGAAAACGCGCAAAAACAACGTCCGGGCGTAACTTTTTCTCACACACGGCACAGCACGTACCAAGATCCATTACAACCTGCCTTGAGCGCTCAAGCGCGATCTTCAACTCTGCCTGCCGTATACGTGCCTCAAGAATACTGGCATTCATCGCCGCGCTGCGGCTTCGCGTTGACGCATCTCGAATGGACCGTTTTATAAATCCCGCAATTGGAAGGATGGGCGTATCATCCGGCAGCATCGGCAATGCCGTCAATAGGTTTACCCCCTCACATGTGTTGAGCATTTCAATGACGTCGTCTAGCCGCGCTGAGGTGCACCCATCGCTCGGGTGAAGCAGAAGACGCAAAAGAACCTGAAAGGCGTCCTGTCCGTCATGGCCCACATGTTTCGCGTATTCCTGCGCCGCCTGCAACTCCTTTGCCTCGTAAAGAAACATGCAAATGGCCTCCTCATGCAGCTCAAGCCGACGATAAATGATGGCACGCTCAGCATACATGTGACTTCGCAAATTCGGCTGTTCCAAAAGTTTTCGTGCGTTGGAAATGTCAATGTGCTCCGACAAACGCAGAAAGTTTTCTAAGCGTTGATGTAATTCTGATATCCGACTTCTCTCCTTCTTTTCTTCGTTATTATCCCCGTCGCCTTCTTGGGAAAAGGTAGACAGCAGAAGATGCACCAGGCTTTGAAAATATGCATCGTGAATAGACGCGTCTATTTTCACGTTGCATGCGTTATCAAAAACCAAAGACAACCATTCAGCACGGCGCTCATGGGGTTGTGTGTCGCCCATGTCACCCATGTCGCTACTAAGAAGTCGAAGAACGGTGGTGTAGTGCTTCGGCTGAATTTCTGTAACAGGGAACATCTTGACAGACCACCTCGGAGAGACATTGGCGAGAATCCATCGAGAATATTGTTCCACCAACGCCCTTTCCTCCTGCTCATCCCATGAGAGCAGCGATATGTAAGTTATAGTCGTCACCACGCTGACGCAACGCCGTAAAAGGCCCAGTTGATGCGACGGATCCGCATTCACGGCAATCTCGTCAAGAATCCGCATCATCACACTTTGCGGTATAAAATTAGCCCTTCGATCCCTTCGGTCAGAGAGAACTCTGTTGCTGCTACTTTTACCGAGTGAGTTCGCCAACAGCAAATGAAGAATATGCAGGAACTCCGTGTCAAAGGGCAAGTTCCCTCGAGAAAATGATGTCGTTAAGAGCGATTCCAACAAGACTCGTTCCCTTGTTGTGCCAAGTGTGTAGAGTAACGCTAGACTTTTGTGGTTTTGCTTGTAAAAGTACCATAGTGTAATTAATGCCACCCATTGCTCGCTGTCCACTAAAAAGACCTCGGACTCGGCAAGGGAGCAAAAATTCTCCTCCGCAAGAAATGATAGCAACTGCTGCTCTTGTCCCATGACAACGTATGCTTTCATAATTGCGGTGTCAATGGCCTCCGCCAGCACAGTTTTTTCCTCCGTCGCATATTCCCGTCGCAGTGGAAGTGCGTAATCAAGAAAAGCCGTGATGGCACTCCGCATGTCCATTGCAAGATCTGTCGTGTCGAGTGAGCGTGTGTATTCCTTCGGTGGGTGCCATGTCTCCCGTGCACGCTTCGTAAGGAACCCTGGAAAGAGGTCAATGACAAGTCGTGGATCGACATTGGCGTCGCGAAAACGTAGCATAGCCGTCTTAAAATCCTTCTTGGCATGGAAGCTCCAAAGTGCAAACTGAGTCTTAAGGCTATCCACTGTTGCCTGATCCACCTCGTTGGCGCAAAGCTGGCAGAGAATCAGACCCGCCTCGACGCAGTTCAAAGATGCCAGCGCCAGGACCTGTTCTCGCACAGGAAGCAGCTCAAGCAGATACACGGTGTTGTTACTACTCACCAAAATACTGATGTCCTTCCGCAACGCATCGGAAGGTGTTGCCTCTTTTGGCAAACTGGCGTCAAAGTCCGCAAAGGGTCGCTGCGAGATGCGATCGGCGCCCTTCAGGCTGAGGGTTTGCCACGGCGACAAATCCGATGCCTCAGCGTGGGCAGTAAAAAATGGCAGTCGCACCTCCATGCAGTTGTTGTCATGAACAGTGAGAAGAAAGGGGTGAATGTACGTTGCATTGGTGGGGATCGACGACCACGACATCCCGCTCCTCCCCGGGACAAGACTGCCGTCATGCAACGCCCGCATGCCTTTGTTTTCGTCCCCCACGAGTACCTCCGGCACGGGGTCCAGTGAAAGGAGCAGGGGGATGCCACTCTTTCCGGTGGGGTACAGGTAGTCCGTGGCACCACTCAAAACATTCATGATGACATATTCACGACGAAAACCAAGTATAATATTCTTCCCTACCCAAAGGAGCGTCTTGGCGCCGTCCGGCAGCAGAAATCCGTCATTCACCATCACAAACTCACTCAAGTGGTCTCTGTACTCGTACAATGTAATTTTTTTGCGCTGAAGGACCGCCATGGAAAAGATGCCCCTTTGACGCTTCACGTGTAATGTGACGATATCTTTAGTCCCCTTGACGGTATTCATTTCTGGTAGCCGATCCTCCGGCAGGCTGTCCAACGGGGCATGAGTTATGTGGCTCAGCTGGTGTACTGCAATAACGTCACCCGCAAGAACAAGCAAAATCCCCTTTTCCACAATAGGAATGATCATACGGATGGGTAGCTTGTGCTTGGAATTGTGGATGTAAACACATTGGGCGTCACGGTTTTGGAGAGAGACCTCGTACACCATCACTTTCCCATCACTTGTGCCAAGAAAAAAGAGATTTCGTGCGGTGGCAATGCTATCAATTTTACATGACAACTTCTGTTTAAGTTCCCTAAGACAAAACACCTCATGCGACATGAATGCAGAAGAACAAACGTTGTATGTACGTATATATATCTATATATATATATATGTGTGTGTGTGTGTGTATGTATCGACGTCTGTATAAAAACACGTACAATCTCTCTTTCCTTCCTTTTTGTTTTTTACTTCTTTCTTTCCCTGCTGGTAAAAGGTAAGCCCCCCACCCCCACCCAAAGAAAAAAAAAAAAAAGAAAAAAATAGACAAGAAAAAAAAAAAAGAGAATAGTGTAAGGCCGAAGAATAACACGGGCCTTTACACTTTTTAATACAACTCAACGCATTTGACGACAGCGGCAACAGAAAAAAAAAAAAAAAAAAACAGCGCCTGTTCCATCGTCCTTCGCTTCCTGACCAGTGAATTTTATGTACTCGCACTTCCTTCTATTCATGGAAAAGTCGCACTTCCACACGTACAGAGAGAGGGAGAGAGAGAGACAGACTGACTGACAGACAGAGAGGGAGGGAGGAAAAAATGGGACGTGGAAACGTGCACCAAAGCCCTTACACCGGCCACAATTCCACGAGAGGGTTCCAGTCGTCCATGACGGCAAGGTGCGCACCGTCAAAAAAGATCATGGCACTCGGGAAGGGCGCACCCCCGTTGCCACCCTCGCCCAATCGCCGAATATGCATCTGCGTAGACGGGCCTACGACCGCTGTAGACTGAAGCGCCATCTTTTCCCGGGCGGATGATGTCAGGGGCGAGTGGGACCCCAAAAAAAGACCAAAGTCATTCGCGAGATCCCGCATCGCGTTGTTGTGGCACTCACTACGTGTCTCCCCAAGCAAATCCTCCAGGTGGCGCACCATGACGGAGCAGCAGTCCGGATGCGTCAAAGGTATACCAAAGCCGAGATCTGTAATGTGTGCATCGGCCAGAGAATAAAATCGCGACATTTCCTTTTTAAATCCCATCCCCTTCGTGGGGTCGACATGCGTGACCGTTGGCGTAGGTGTCGGTGCTGTTTCTTTGCCCCATCCCTCCTCTTTGACCACCTCGTGGAGGGAAACATGGAAGGTAAAGCATCCCAGTGAGTCCTTTAGGTGCATCGCCTCAACAGCCAAATGAAAAAGATCCAGAAAACGTCGTAGTCCCACCATTTCATCCACCACATCGGCACTGACAAAGTGAACGGAAGTCGCATGGGAGTGCTGCATCACAGCCGAAGAAAATAACGCCACGGCCTCCGTATCCGAAGCTGTAAATGGCACCACAACGTCAAGGGATGTGTATTTGGTCGACTCCACCAGAAATCTACCCTCCGTATCACGTTCCAGTGGCACATCCTCCACACGTTGTACAAACAAGGGTGCCATGACTGTCATTTCATTCAGCAAAACAATAGAAGTTGCCGCCTCCACGTATGTAATTTCCGCATCCATGGTAAAGGGCTGCAGGCGCAGCTTGGCGACACTTTTTTCCGTGTCCTGAAGCAGAGGCGGCCAGGCCGCAAGGCGTGCCCCTACAGGAAGCAGCAAAGAAGGCGGCCCAGTACCCATTTTGTTGTAAAGGTATAACGTCATCCACGGTGACGGCATCAAACTCACAGTACTCCCATACACGCCATTAAGTGCCACATCAATAAGTGGAGCATACGATACGGGCGATGTCACAAAATAAGCCCAGTAGTTTCGTCCCAAAACGGAATATCGCGTTGTTGGTTCCAGCTCATTCATGGATTCAACCTTCAGCATATCCACGCCAGACTCTTTGTCAGGTCCTACAACACGCCGAAGCGCCTTGAGCACCTCACGTAAACTCAACACGCTACAAATATATTTCACCGCCTCGTCACCAAGATCGTGCTCGGTTTTAATATCTACTTGTTCCAGCTTTTCAATAAAACTTCCAATCATCTCCTCGGACAATTTGCCCAGTTCAAATAACGTCACAGCATGTTGTTTAAAGGTTGGGTCGGCGCTCAAATTAGTCATCATAAGAAACCCCGTGAGACTGGCGTCGTAAAGCAGCGCTATACGCCTCGGGGGGTGGCTACCATTGTTGGGGCATGTGTCCTTTGTGTCTGCATCCGCCTCTGATGCACCCGCCTCTGCAGAGATGCAAGGTGCGGAGCCTGTAAGAGACACGGCGGAGGCCTCTGACATGCGCTCTTCCACAACATCTCGCCATGTCTCATGCACGCGTTCCGTAAAATTTAAAATTTCCTCCGGAATGTGGACTGTTTTAAGCTGTGCCAGGCCGAGGCGAATGTACACTTGAGCCGCGGCGCAGACATCCAACTCATCAAGCATCAAAAGCTGCGCGAGAAGACTTAGCGAGGTGCGATTGTCGATTGTGGAAAGAACTTTGTACAGCATCACTTCTGTCGGGTCATCTGAAGTGCGATTCATGACAAACCGCTCAAGCGGCGGCACCGTAATTTGATCCTCAGGACCCACCGAGAACGTTGCGCAAACCAATCCCTTGCGGTACAATGCGTGAAGGGGCTCCCGAGGAAACTCACACGCAAAATGGCAACCGTCGCTGCCACGATTATGGCTTTCATTCTCCGCTGAAAGTTTAAGAAGCTGACGATGCAGCGTGGCCTCCTCATTGCTAAGGTTTGCCCTCTTGATTGCCTCCGCTGGCATATCCACAGCAAAGACGCCCCAAAACGGTGGAAGTGTAACAGAAGGTAGCATCTCGGATGGCAAGTAATTTTTTACAAACCGCCGATTGATGTGCCATCGGAGTTTACTTCGTACTTCTTTCGTCAGCTCAAGGTATTGATTACGTCCAATTCCAATGATGTTAAGCACATCCACCGCAGTAAAGTTTGGTAAGGTGTCATAGCTGCGCTCTGCCTTCAGAAGTTCCGAAATCATTGTTGTATAGTAGCTAAGCGGCGTCTCCTTCGTGTATTGAGCAATCTTACGTATGTGTAAATAGGGGTAAAGTTGCAGATTCTCCTGCAGGTAGGCAATAAGTACCTCGTAATAGCTCTGCTCGGTCATGCTAACACGCAGGAACTTTGGGAGGCGTTGATAACTATGATAGCGCAACGCCGCAAAGTGCACGCTGTGCAGTTTGTACGCCTGCAACGACACCCGCTGCCGCAGAGGGCCACTCAGCGCCTCATACGGCAGACGGGACTCTAACGCCTGCTGCAGATCCCTCGCGTGGTGCTGACCAGCCATTCGGGAGTAGACAACTTCAAAAACAAGTAAATTAAAGAAAAAGAAAAGAAAAGAAAAGGTACAGTGAGTAGAAAAAAAAAAAAAAAATTTTTTCAAAAACTCCTTCCCCCGCCTCGTACCGCACACCATGACATCAGGCATCATCACACGCATACACATACGTACCCAACATTCCCTCTACCTGAAAGGCAATGAACGTCTATGGCGCAGAGTGCAGGACACGTGAAAGCTCCAGCCAATGCGCCAGTGCGTCCACACGCTCCGGCTGCTTGTCGTGTTCCCACACACAAAAGCGATCCTCGGTGGCGGTGATGCGAACATCGGACGCCACTGCCTCTACCTGCGCAAGCGACGGCGCTGAGGACGTCACACAACCAGCAGCCCCCGTCCCCAGCGGATGCTGCTGCCGTGGCATAAAGCTCGTAACCGCAAGAACATACGACGGTGGCAAAACGACCTCCCGGCCAATAAGCGTACGGCCACGTAGTGTGTTACGCAACCCGCCATTCTCGGTGTGCTCAATGTGACGCGAGAAGTTCTCCTCAATGTCAGTTGTGCCACGAAATGTCGTCTTGAAAGGCAATGAATGAACCACACACGCATCCCGTTCCTGCCGCGTCTTCTCCGCCACCATCCGTCCCTCCCAAAATCCACTAAAAAAACAACGTCAGTGACGTCGTCCCATTGCAAGACAAACACGACATAAAAAAAAAAACGAAAAAAAAAAAGTTCTCTTTGATACGAATTCCGGAAATGGACACCAGGGAATCGCACAAACAGGTGGAGTAGAGGTGCGTGCATATATATATATTATAGAAAACGCACACACACACACACACAAAAAAAAAAAAAAAAAGACAATCAACTCCGCGTGGTTGATCGCATCGGCTCAGCAGGCAACATCATACAGCGTGGCAAATTTCATAAGAAGAGACCGCAGCGGAAGCAGGGACTCTTCATGAGTATCATTCTTGCTGTTGCTGCTTGGGCCATTTTTCACCGTGTCACTCTTGTCAGCAACTTCATCTGCACAACACCGCAGTGCGTTCTGCACCTTTCGTCGTTTTACCGGGTGGGCTCCAGGCACAATGGCCTCCCACATGACCAATTCCCTTAGACAACTACACAGACAAGCACGCGTGTCACCAAGCACGGCGTAAACAAAGCTCAGTGTATTGTGCAGCTCGTGACAGAGGTAGTGAAACGGAAAAAGGTGCTGACGACACTCCTGCAGAAGATGGAGCAACGCGTCACGATCACCCACGTCCACATCGCCCACATCCTTAGCACGAACGCGGCCGCAAAGGATCTGTACAGATGAAATGTACTCACGTTCCTTCTCTCTGCTTCCCCCCAGGCGTAGCGTCGCCGACAGCGCCGACTCAAACGGGCTTCGGTCTCCGTCGTCGCAGCGCACACATCGGCAGTCAAAAAAGTACCGCTCGGCGAGTTCCTCGCGTCGCAGCCACGCCGGCCAGTACAGTTGCGGCAGGTATGATATGGTGAGCTCCTCGCCCGGCCTAATGGCACGCGTTGTCACAATCGCACCTGCCTCGATCGCGCAGTTCGGCAAACACGAGTGGTTGAAGTACGACGTAACACTTGCCGCGTGCAACGCCTGGCCGACAGGAAGACCGGATGCATCGCAGACCGCAAGCGCGTTGCAACGTACGACGCCGAGAATGCGGGTGACAAATGTGGGATCCTCCCCGCTAAACAAATCCTGGACAAGACGCACAAGCGGTGTGAGTCCCTGCGACACTTCGACCTCGTGGCTCTCCAGCCGCAGCACCGCCTCATGCCCCTCCTTGCGCATCTTCACGCCACTCATGGTCGTGATGCAGTGCGTCGCCATAGTGAAAAAGTCGTCCGGCACTGCCGCTTCACAACTCCGCATCGACCCCAGCATCTCCCTCAGCCGAAAAAGCAGTCGGCACTCGTATTCCTCGTGCTGGCGGCCATGGCAGGAGGCACACCTGTCGGAGCAGTACGACACAAACTGGCAGCGGCGGCATGTCCGCAAAGCGGCGGTAGGCTCCTCGCCATCATCAGGCATGAAGACCACGCCACAGTGTGCACACAAACCCACAGACCCCGTCTCCTCGTAAGAACACACAGAAAACGGATGCAACGTGGAGCTCACGACCAACAGGGGAGGCAAATGGGAGGCCGCCACGACACACCTTCCACATTCCCCTTGTTGCACCTCAATGCAGGGTTCCTCGTCATGCAGCGTCTCACACTCGTGTAGAAGTCGCTCAAGCGCTTCATCCATAAACGGAATTATTGTTTCACACATGGACGGTGACAAGTGGACGGCACGGCACAGGTACTGCAATGGGTCCCCATGCAGCGGTAACGTAAAGGCCGGTCGCAGTAAAAGACATCTCCCAATAACGGCGTACGCTTTGGCAATTAATGGGTTACATTGCAACACCTTCTCTGCAAGTGTCAGACACGCGTCGTACTCCTGCACCTTGAAGAGGCATGTCAGTGCGTTGCCAGCGCACTTTGTGTACTCTTCAAGTGCGCCTGATTTATCCTTCAATTTCTCATACACGCCAAGGGCCTCCTGGTACAAATTTGCCGCAGCACGTGGGTCGCTGGAAAAGAGAGCGTTACCCCGCACGCGTAGTTCCTCCATAACTTAACGACAACTGTAAATGGTGCAGCCGTGCATGTGTGTGTGTGTGTGTGTGTAAGAAAAACAAAAAAAGAAAAAAAAAGACCTCTAGAAACTCACAGTGACAATAGAAAAAAAGTAGTAAATTTTCACAATTACAGGAAGAGTAAAAGAAAAGAAAAAAAAAAGAGAAGGAAAGCCCTTTTGAGAAAAAGGCTGGTTGTCCTATGCTTTCCTTCATGCACCTCATTATTCGCCACCCTCGCCGTACGGCGCTGCCGTATCATCCAATCTCATGCCTCTGCCACTTCCAATGTGGTGTCATCACGTGCATGAGATTCGTCGTCGTCGTCCTCCTCCTCCTCCTCTTCCTGCTTCTTATCCTCATGTCGCTGTCTTTGTTGTCGTTCCTCTCGCAGTACTTGGGGACGATACTTCTGCACCACGTGCAGCACCGCCGGCCCCAACGCCTCCCGTAACGCAGATGGAGAAGAGGAGCGAAGAAAGGCAGACACAGCTAACACATCCTGCGGCTGTGGAATTCTCTCGTCAAGCGCCGGTTGGTGCGTCGGTATCACAAAACGAGCGTTTTTCCCTTCACCCACGGCCTTGGCTCTTCTCATCGCACCGAAGGTCGATGCCGAGCTGAGGGATTGACGCCCCATCTCCTCCTCAATGGTGGAAAAGACACCGATGTGCAGCACGTCAAAGGCCACACGTGGGTCGCTGTTCACGAGCATGTCGAAGTAATTGCCCGCCGTATCCGGGGGCGTTGCACTCATGCAGTCGGGCCCCCCTCCCCGTAACCTCTCTTTTTCCCCCCTCTTCACTGTGCAGTCCTCCTTTTAATTTTTTTGTTTTTGTTTGTTGTTGATTGGAGGGCAATGCACTCAAAACACACGCATCGCAGCAGCGGCAGAGGACAAATTGCAGAAACATTTAAAAAAAAAAAAAAAAAAGGGGGGAGGGAGAGAAAGAGAAAAGGGGGAGGGCAAAAAAAAAAAAAAAACAATCGTCTTCCACTCGCAAAAAAAAAAAAAAAAAAAAAATCGGTGGGATTTCAAAGACAACACTCCACATCTCTCAGCACACCACCATAAAGAAAAAAGGGAGAAACACGCACACAGAGATACAGATACAGTTTTAGATATATAGATATATAACTGCATGCATGCATGCATACAACACGTACATAAACAAAAACAAAAACAAAAAAAAATTTCACCAGGCACGTCTACCAGTAGAAAGTAAAGAGAAAAAAAAAAAAAAAAAAAAGAAGTGAAAGAAACTTTTCTCTCTTTGTTTTTTTTTTTTTTGTTTTGTTTTTTGTTTTGTTTTGTTTTTTCCCACTACACCGCATCCACAGCCACTGTCGTCTGCTGCCGCAATCGCAGTTCTTTGTTCCATGCGTATAGCTCTCGTCGGCGCTGCTCTTTGCGTGCCTGCTCATTCCCAGAGTGTGCCGTCTCCTTCCCAAAGCCTCTCTCCGTCTTGCATACCGCAATCGATGCCAGTGATCGCACCTTCGACCCCGCTCTCTCATGACTCCGTGTGAATGACATCTTCGCCAGTCGCGGGGACGCCAACGGAACAAAAGACTTCGGTCGAAGTGGCAAGCCGCTTATGTTGTTCGTATTGCTATTGCTCTTGATGGAAATGCTGACTGCACCATTATTGTTGCTACTATGATTGTTCACTGACGTGTCAGTGCTTTTCTTACGTGTTCCTGTAGGCTCCTTCCCCCCCTCGTGCGTTAAGAAAGATACGGCTGATGTCTCGCCCTTTATCTCCGTAGCTGAGAACACAACCCTCGAGACTGCATCGGTCCTGCTCGCATGCGTGATGCCGTCATGGTTGCTGGCATGTGCGGATACAATATTCATAAACAAAGACTTCGATGGTGTTGGTGGCGTCAGTGACGCCTGCTGCTGCGAACTGCCCTGCCGCAATGAGGCGGAGGCGGAGAAGGAACAGGGAGCCGCCCAAGTCCGTGCGGAACTGCGCCTTTTATGCCGCTCATTCGACCGCATTTAATTCGCCCTGTGATTCACGCACAAGGTCTTCTACCCGGCAGATGTTAATGGGTGTTGCTGCAAACTCATGCGGTGCACGCATAAGAGACACAGACAGACAGAGAGAGAGAGAGAGAGGCAGGAAACAAGAAAGGATGGGAAGTGGAGGGAAAAAAAAAAAAAAGAAGGGAAAAGACGGTATGAAAAGAGAGAAACAAATTAACACGTTGATGGAGACGTACACAGCCGCATAGTAGCATGCATGCATCCAAAGAGAGAGAGAGACACACACACACAGAGAGAGAGGGAGAGAGAGAGGAAATTCACCCCCTCTGCCTCCTTTTATGTGTGCGTTTGTGTGTGTGTGTGTGTGTGCGCATGTCTCCACCTCTTCCTCGTATTACTCGCTTCTTTTTCGTTGTTGTTGTTGTTGTTGCTTCATATTATTATTATTATATATTTATTTATTTACTTTTATTCCTCATCTCCTCCTTTCTTATATAAATATATATTCCGTTTGTTTGTTTGTTTTTTGCTTTTCTTATGTGCATCCCGCCACCTCGTTATCTATCTCTCTCTATTTCTCTCACACTCACTCACCGCAGTCGGAAGTCTTGATCGTAGTGACTTGACTGCAGCTTTCCGTCAAAATCAACGTGCAGCGCAATGTCAAGATCGCGCGGGTTGCCTTTATTCGGGCAGCAGCTCATACGAAACTTTGCCTTTTCACCTTTATTCATGTGTATTGAATTAAAAAGATAGAGCACCGTCTGTCGCCAGTGCGTCGGGGCCTCCAGCGGCGTCGTCGTGAGCACAACCACCTCATGGCCGGCAGCGAATGGGGTGTCAAAGTGCACGCTGATCGCATCCACACACCCTGATCGTTCTGCGATAAGTTCAAACTCAGTTGTAAACGCAAGTTCCGCCTCCTGCACGGTATTAATATTAAATGAGAAAAAATTAGACATGTTGGTTAGGATTTGATTGCGGTCCACTGTGTCTATGAGCGGTTCAATGTAGCTCAGCCGCTTGAAGTAGGAAAAGTCAAAGCCTTGCACATCGTCCCAGACGTCAAACCGCTCTTCTTTGTACTGCTGGTCGCTAATGCCACAAGCGTACATGTTCGCACGGTCCGGAAAGAGTTTCACGTCGGGTGTGCCCCATCGATCACGCGCGTAAAGAACCGTGTTTAACATTGATTCGTACAACAAAAAGTACCCCATCCACTCACTAATGATGATATCAACCTTCTCGTCAAGTTGTAAATCCTCCATCTTTCCTTGAATAATGGTGATAACATCTTCAAATCCATTATCCTTTACAATCTGCCGCGCCTGTACTGTTACGCTGCTGCAGTCAACACCAATCACTTTCCTGGCGCCTGCCTTTGCAGCAAACATGGAGAGAATACCCGTGCCGCAACCAACATCCAGCACCACCTTTCCCTTAAAAAGATATGCATTGCGCCAAATGGCATCACGGTAGGAAGTCGTGCGGTGATAATCCTTCAACATTTCCATATGAATACCATAATGACTGTAGGAATCAAAGTAGTAATCCCCTGTTGCGGATCCTGCCACAGGAGCTTTTGTCGGCGCCGGTGTTTCTGTTGTCGTCATTTCCTTCTGTGATGCTAACAGTGCCGTTTGTGGAGTTCTCTTTCGTGCCGTGGCAAAAGGAAATGACGCGCGCTGAATACGACGCAAGAGAGAAATGTCTGCAACTGAGAGGGGAGGGGAGAAAGAAAAAAAAAAAAAAAAAAGAACAGAAAAGAAAAGAAACTGAAAGAAAATGTGCCCCCTCCCACTCCCACTTTTAAAAAACAGAAAACAGAAAAGGGGAGAGCGCGTGATGACTTTTCGTGGGCGTTTTCTGTTCTTTTCTTTTTTTTTTTCCTTCGGCTTTTCATCCTCCCTTTTATCCCAAAGAGCATCCAATGGCCCGCTTCATGCAGTCAAGCGCCTCCTCGCCAAAGACATGACCCTCCGACCAGACCATCACCGTCTCACGTAGAAATGTGTCGACCGGGGAATTCTTCGGCACCGTCCCTGCAAGTGCTTCTACCATCCGCTGCATGTAAAATTCAAATACAGATAGATATCGCAAAGGCCTCTCCAAAGCGTCGTGCTGCAGTAATAACATGTTGGCAATAAATAATAACGTCCCTGCTGCCTGTAATTTCTTTTCGTCTGAAGCCCCGTCCGCAGAATCTGTGACGCAGGCACCACTACTACGACGTCGCGTCTCCCTCCGCACCTCGTGTATACGTACATCACACATGTAACAGAGTACATACAAGAACACCTCCGTCATAGGGAGGCGACGCAGCATAAACTGTACGACATCCTCAAGAGAGACATGCTCTCGTTGGGCGCCGTCCAACATGTCAACAAAGGCAGTAAGATCCGCCTCCGTACGAAACATGTGCGGCATGTGCGGTCCACGTACACCAGGCGTCGAGGAAAAGTAATCCAGCAACGACATCCACAACACCGCCGTGCCGCCGTGCGTCATTAAAGAAGAAGTTCGTTCTGGGGCAAATGCCGGCGCCACGACTGCTGGTGTTTCTGCCCTCTTCTGGTGGCCTCGCCCCTCCAGCAGCCTCACGTACAGCCGCCTCTCCGCCTCGTCTTCGTTCCGTGAGAAAAGAAAACGATGTTTTGGATCCGTCACGTGTGCCACGCAGTACTCCGCAAAGTCAGGGCTTGTCAGCTGCATCCGCACAACCCGTTCCACAAGTTCACTTTGCCCCTCCATTCTCCCCTCCCAGTTTTGACGCCGTTGGAGATGTCCCCCGTTTCTTCTCCTGCCTCCACTCTTTTTTTCTCGCGGCCCACACAGGACACACAATGAGAAATCAAAAAAAAAAAACAGAGAAACAAGAATAAAAAAAATCCCAACACCACGCCAATGATAAACACTGTTGCAGCACCTGTTAAAAAATATTTATTTAAGAACAACACACATAACAAACACGTAAATGCGCCCACAAAAAATAAATAAATATAAATATAAATATAAACACTCAAGAACGCAGGCCACTGTTGGGGTATTAACACATGCAATATTGTTTACTCATCACCCAATTACTACAAAAATAAGAAAAAGAAACAATTACATGTATATATATATTATGCCTATATATAAATATATATATATATATATATACATGTGTATGACTGATGGTCAATGCACGTCCATACATAATCCCATTTATACTAAATAAAATTCATCCGTACCTCTGCTGGAAAACCATATATATATCCATATAGATAGATAGATAGATAGATAGATGGTGGCTTCCCGTCCGTCCTCTCCAAACAAGCAATAAAAATATTCCTTCCTTGTTGTATTGCCTGTAAAAATGGAAAGTTAGCCAATGAAACAATAATAATAATAATAATAATAATAATAAAAGGGGATAGTAACAACTTGTTTCCATAGCTTATTGGCAACGTAGAGCTCCTCCCAATATGCCTAATTACTCATTAAAAACAAATTCCTTTTTGTACGTGTGGGTCGAAACGCCCTGGTCGCAGTTCCACCAGAAATCTTCTCTTTGGATGTCTCCATCACCACCACCAAAGCCCCCCATGGTAGTTTATTTGGGTCCTTGCATTGCGCCTTACGCATGTTGATGAACGCCCACAGCCACGGCCTCTGGGAGCCGTACACGTAGTGCACACGCACACCACCCCCGGTACGTTCATCATCATCATCATCATCATCCATGTCAAAGAACACATTTCCGTTCAGTTTTTCTACCAATTCGGGGGCCGCATCCGCACTGACGTAGACTGCGACGCTGCTACGACCACCCCCGTCGACATGCGGCTGAGTCTCAATACGATGGATAGTGACCTCCGGGTGTGTGGCGTGTAGCAGACGCAAGACGCTCGTTGCATAGTCCGTCTCTGGTAGTAATTGGTCAAAAATGAGTTTTTTGTAGGGCCCAGATTGGCGCTTACAACGCATGCACGACTCGCACACCAAATCATGAGCCTTCCCGCAGGAACGGCATGACCAGAAGCAAGATTTCTGCACTCCAGTATTGGGCGCGTCAAGCAAGGCCTGTTCATGTGCCGCCTGCACCTGAGAAAGATGGCAACGGTATATAATTGGGTACATGTTCCCGCACCTCAGAAATCGCTCGGTGATGTGCAGTAAATTATTGTCTCCACAGCTGAAAGCCACCTCCACCATGTGCAACTGCGCCCACAGACGCTGAGAGGTGGTGAAAACCGTCTCGGCATGTTCCCCCACGTCGCTTGAATACAAATTACTACCACCAGAGGAGGAAGCACCGTTAAGGCTTTTCGTGCCGCACGTGCCAAGAGACACAGGCGTCCCCACATCTTCCCCTAGTGACTCACTTTCTGTCTTCTTTTTCCGACGCTGACGACGGTGTGGGCGGCGACGCGACTGCGATGGAGCATTCGCAGAGTTCACATCGTTTCCCGTGGAGGAGGCCGAGGAGGCGGCGTTCCCATGCGGATTTTCCCCTGCATGATCCCCCTCGCTTTGCTCCGCTGGTTTCACCTGCAGCCTGTATGTGTTCTGTCGACCGAGGGTGGCTGGCACGCCCCAGTCAAGCTGCTCCTCCTCCGCCACATCCCGCATTGCCGCAAATGACACCAGCTGCTGCAGCAGCGTAGGACGGGGACAGCTTGTGATGATTGTGCCAACCTCGTCGGAGGGGCCAAACTCTGACGAGTTGGTGAAGAGTGTGAACAGGATTGCCAGCATAATAAAGACGGGGCTTCTGCTGCCGAGAGGACCCAACGCCTTCCCCTCAACCGTGAGACATGAACCGCCACGCCGCATTTTATTTGCCTCGTTGTTGTTTTTTGTTTGTCTTCCTTCTCTCCCTTTTAACTGCGGTTTTAAATTCCCTCCCGGTGCTTGGATAAAACAACAGCAGACACACACACACAAAAAAAAAAAAAAAAAAAAGTTATTTTAACGCGGGGAGAAAAAGTCATCTCCGCTTCCAAAAACAAAATCCGTCGGGATGCGTGGAAGGTGACATCCCCTCCCCCCTCCCACAGAGAGAGAGAGAGAGAGAGAGGCACGCCACCCCTTTTGTTTTAACGTTTGCCTCCTCTCCACATTTAATATTTAACACTTATCTTTTTTTCTTCTTCTTCTTTACCACTCTCTCTCTCTCTCTCTCTCTCTCTCTCTCTCTCTCTCTCTCTCTCTGGACTCTTTACTCCCCTCCACAGACACACACATGCACACATGTATTAATATTCCATTCCTTCCTTTTAATAAACAACTTACTGTTTTCTTCCATTCTTTCATTTTTTTTTTTTTTTTTTCCCCTTCACCCAACGTCCCTATTTGCCCCAAAACATACATAAATACACACACGCACATCTCCGTCTGTCAGTCCTTCTCATTCTCCTCCTTTCTGCCTGCGTGCACGCATATCAATAGAGGTATATAGAGGTATATAGGGGCATGTCTCCTTGTCTCTATATATATATATACACATGCGTACATACATAGCCATTTACTTTTTTTTTTTTAATATTATACTTGCCCGCATCAACATGCCTCTTTTCAATACAAAATATTACAGTAAAGCCCCCTCCTCCTCCTCCTCCTCCTCCTCCTCCTCCTATTTTTGTTTTTTTAAACGAAAACAACAACATGACTCCATCGTACATGCACGCATGCATATAGAGATATATAGAGATAGAGATAGATATAATAAAACATCTCATTTACCGGTGTTCGGTGTAAAGACGTAATCATGAGCCATTGCTCCCTCCCTCCCTCCCTCCCTCCCTCCCTCCCTCCCTCTCTCTCTCTTCCATTCTTTTTTCTTTTCATTCCCGCACCCCACACACAAACAAACAAACAAAAAAACAAACAAAAACTTCTTTTTTTTCTTCTCTTTTTTCCTAATAAAATACAACACACACAAAAATTACATGTAAAAGAAGAAAAAAAAAAAAAATTTTGTTATGCGTACGCAAAGGCACACAAATATAAATATATATTTATATAAAGAACAGAGAGAAAAGAAAAACCAAAATAAAAACAGATGTATACAAACATACAAGCACACCAATAAATAAATAAATAAATAGATAGGGGGAGAGAGAGAGAGAGAGAGAGAGAGAGAGAGAGAGAGAGAGAGATATAAATAGATGCAAACAGCCAGGGATGCACGTATGTTGTAGGGAAAAATAATGTTGCCACAAGTCATTGTAAGAAAAACGTGCAATAAAAATAAAAATAAAAATAATATAAAAAAAAAAAAAAACATATTTCCCCTTCTTCTCCCATCAAATTTCACTGCGATTTAACCCCCCTGCGCTCCTGCAATTTCTATTGGCTCCTCTCACACCCACCGCAGCAGATAACATTAAAAAAAAAAAAAAAAAAAAACGACAGCAATGGCAACTCCTTCCCCCCCCCCCCCCTTCTTCTTCTTCCTTTTTCTTTTTTCTTTTTCTTCTTCCGGGGGGGGGGGGGTTGACTTCAATGATTTCATATTAATTTCCCTCAATTCTGCAAACCAAACACACACAAACATATGTGTACACATATACACGCACCCAAACAGACAGATGCACGCAAAAACAAAAGCAAAAGAAAAAAGAAAAAAAAACAAATATTTATATAAATATATATCTAAACGCACATTCGTGGAATTATACCCAAAAAAAATGCACGCATGACTGTGGCCCTAACCCCCTATTCCTACAGAAACAAAAAAAAAAAAAAAAAAAGAGAGACAACAGTGAGGGACCACCGTCTGAGTTCACCGCACCCAACATCCCCTACAAAACACACACCTCAGAGGGGATTCACCGCGCATGCATACACCACCACTAAAACGCACGCATGCAAAAGGCATACGCCACCAGCAGCCGGGATCTCTCGTTGCAAAGTCACGGGGTGGCAGTCTTTGAAAAAAAAAACCGCAACCGCCAGCCTCCCCCTCCCACGTGGTGAGGGAGGACGGCAGCAGGGGGCAACGAAGTAAAAGGAACGGCACTCCCTGCCTCCCCGGCGTGGTATCGATGGGAAATAAAAGTCAATAATAAAAGGAAGCAGGGCGGCTAAACAAGCCACACCAACACCCACTTGGCTCCATTGGGTCACACAAACGTTCCACGATTTTCTCAACAAAATCAAAACAAAAAAAAAACGCCAAAATAAATAGTAATAATAATTCAAAGCATACACACACACACACACAAATATATTAATAGAAACGCTTGGACACTCGGTTACCACGTTCAAATTCCCTTTTTTTTTTTTTTTGACTGTTTATTGAAGGGGAAAAGTGGAAAAACTCAGCAAGAGAGCACAGTAATTGAGTCAATTTAAAGTGGGAGGGAGTAGATTTTATCCGTTCCTCCGGATACTTTCATGCCACTCGTTATGTGGCACCCCCTTCCATTATTCCTCTATCCCCTTCCTCCTTCATTCTTCGATGATTCCTTATCTCTTATATATCATACATATATTATATACATATATGTATATAATATTATCCTCTTCAATGTTTGTGTGTGTGTGTTTGCTTGTTTAAGCTGTCAAAGGGTCCACGCCTACTCTTTTATAAGAGCCACCATCTGCGGCTCCACAGGCTCCCAGAGTGGGTTGTAAAGATATGGGTCGTGGCGGTACCGACCATCGCCGAGGCAGACGGTAGTGGTGTATAAGTTTGAGTAGAATAAATAGACCGGAGAGTAGGGATTGTGGCACTTCCGTTGGGAGGGCCTCAAAATGTTCTCACGTTTGAAGAAAGATCCACATGTCTTCTCCAGTGCGCCCTCTCCTTCACGCGTCATCCGCGGTGAAGAGGCGGCAAAGAAGGAAGTTTCATTGACGGCATTCTCCCTCTTCTGGCGCTCCTCCCTCGGCAGGTGAATGGTAGATGAATCCCCATCCGCTTCTGCTGAGGCCTCAGAGACAAACGGTGTAGTCTCCTGATGTTGTTCTTCTTCCTCATTGATTTGGGAAACTTCCTCATGATGTTTTTGTTCTTCCTGCTCCTTCTGCTCGAATTCATTCTCCTGGATGGGCTCACCATCCTCCACTTGCTGGGCTTGTATGTTCTTCTCGTTCTGAAGCTGCCATTTTAACCTCTTGCGCTTCATGGATGGTTTCTCTGGCACCTCAATCACCATTGGCTGCCGCGGCAGGTAAATAGGGCGTGTACTCCACCTGGCAATATTCTCCGCGTATTCCTGTATCCACTTCCTACTACGCGGTGGGGCCACCATGTAAACTTCCTTCCCGTCTGCATTAAGATCAAGAAATATAAGTCTGTTAAATTGCATCAGTCGCTTGACGTCATCCTGCGATGTAACAAAAACCCATGTGCATCCCTTCCCGCGGTTGTTCAGGGCGTTTGTATGCGACTCCATGTGCGGGATGGAAATTTCTGGGACAAGGAAATTAAGTAAATGACGTAGCGAGGCCGGATGCGGGTCACGCCGCTGCTGTCCAAAAAACAGACGAATATTTTTAGTCATCGTTCCTGAAACGCCGTTCTTGTTCTTGGCGTGGTGGTTTTTGTTGCCGGCAAAGTTGCCTCCATAACGGTCCGCCAGAGACGGGCGTCCAGTGAAGGCAGGGATTCTGAAAACCCCATGCTCGTTCACTTGAAATTTCTTCCGTAAAAGCCCATTAAGTCGTTTATTGGTGCCGAGCAGGGAGACGACATCAGGGAAGACAAGAAACAAGAAAATTCGCAGCAGTGCGGCGTCCGGTAACGCCTCAAAGAAGTCCTTGCGGTCATTTTCTTTGTAAACGTCATCATCAACATCGATGGAGTCGGCACAATGGTCACCGCTAACAATACGGTGATTTGTGAGGGCATTTGGCAGCAGGAGTTTACGCGGGGTGGAGACAAGAGAGTTGTATTCGCTGCCAATTGCCAATTGGGTGGAGGAACTGCTACCGCCAATGCTGCTGCTGCTGAGTGTACTGCGGCGGTCCTTCTCAACGGGTGCCAGTGGATGAGCCTCACCCACTGTGAGTATCCTTCTTTCCCTCCCAAGTGTTTTGTCTTGCAGCTGTTTTCCGTCCACAACTTGGCCCTCCTCTTCCGCAGCGTCATTGAGACTGTCACCACTCCTCACCGCTTTATTTTCTTCGTCTTCCTCATCTTCCTCTTCTTCCTCGTCACGTCGGCGCCATGCGTCCCCCCCTGTCATCTTCGACGCCCATGGCTCGGAAACCCCGGTTCTCATGTAGTCGAACAGCCGTTCCCCTCGCACCTCTGTGTCCAGTTCCCCGGCGGTACTGCAGCCATCCGTACCGTCGACGTTGGTGTGTGACCGAAACACATCGGCACCCAACGGGCCTGTGGCGGTCGAGGAGAATGACGTCCGTGCCAACTCCTCAAGTGTGGGCGAAACGGGGGGTAACACCACTGAAACAAGCAGCAGAAGCCCCAGCAGTCGCGTTTGTCGCAGCGGCAAAGGGCCGCTGACACAACGCGTTGACTCGCCGTATTCGCCATTCGCCTCAGTTTCCATAGCACTGGAGGCGTCATCACCCAACGTCTCCACCTGCTTCCTCACGGTCATCTTGCGGTTCACTTCCCTCCTGCTCGTTTGGACTTTCCCTTCCATTTTAATTTCCTTTTAAACGCTCCGGTGCAGATAGTTGCGTCACCACAAGCGGTATACTGCGGGAAGAAAAAACAAAAACAAAAACCCAAAGAAAAAAAAAAGAGTTTCTTTTTTTTTCCCCCCCCCCCCCCCTTTTTTTTGTTTTCTTTCCTTCTTTCACCTCCTCTCCTCTTCTCTCTTTTCCTTCTTCCTTTTCTTTTAGGTTTGGTTTTGTTTACTTCCGTAATTTCCTGTCAATTTGTTTGCTTGTTTTTTGTTGCTTTTTTGTTTTTCTTCTTCCTTCCTTTCCTTGTTTGTTTTTTCCTTCGCCTCTTTTACTTGCCTGGTGCGCGTGTCAGTTTTTGTTTGCGTTTGGCGAGAAAAAATGTATTCGCAGAAGACGCTCTCTTTTTTTTTTCTTTTCTTTTTTTTTTTTTTTAAAGGGCTCTTTCTGTGTCTGTGGTGTCTGTGGTGTGTGTGTGTGTGTGTGTCTGCGTTGCCGTGGGACAAAACGTCGGTTCTGAGGTCACAACACACACATGAAAACAAAGAAGAAGAAGAAGAAGAAGAAAAAGACATTAAACGCACATGTACATACATACATATATAGGCATGCATACATATATATAGGCATGCATACATATATATAGGCATGCATACATATATATAGGCATGCATACATATATATAGGCATGCATACATATATATAGGCATGCATACATATATATAGGCATGCATACATATATATAGGCATGCATACATATATATAGGCATGCATACATATATATAGGCATGCATACATATATATAGGCATGCATACATATATATAGGCATGCATACATATATATAGGCATGCATACATATATATAGGCATGCATACATATATATAGGCATGCATACATATATATAGGCATGCATACATATATATAGGCATGCATACATATATATAGGCATGCATACATATATATAGGCATGCATACATATATATAGGCATGCATACATATATATAGGCATGCATAGATGGGCTGCCTCCCACAGACTGTATATGTACACACAGAACACAGAAAAGAACAGCTTCAGACAGACATCTTAAACAAAATGACGCCTTCGTCCTCCCCCTCCTCCTCCTCCTCCTCCTCCTCCTACTCCTCTCCTTCTGTTTTGTGTTGTTTCTCTACAAAAGAAGGAAGAAGAGAATTAGGACGAGAAAAAGGGAGAGAGGCAGTGGCACCACACAAAAAAAAAAAAAAAAAACACATAAACAAATGAAAATCACCACCACCACAAACGACAACAATGACAACAATGAAGAAAACAATAAAATAAATAAATAAATAAACACCAACAACACAAAAAAAAAAAGAAAAGAAAAGAAAAAAAAAAATCCAAAAACAAACAAAAGTACATTTTCAAGAGATGAATTTGGGAGATGGGGGAGGAGAGAGAGAGAGAGAAAAAGGGGGGGAAAGGCAGAAAACTGTGCCCCTTCAAAAAAAAAAAAGAAAGAAAGAGGGAGTAGAAGATCCACAGACTTTTATTTTTTTTTTTTTTTTTTTTGATTGTTTCTTTTGTTTTTGCTTTTTCCTTTTTGTTCCCTCAAGTACTCACCCCGTCTTCCTCCATTGCATCCATATCCATTACAGATGCACGCGGCGTTCCCAACGGTGTCGTTGTCAATTGTTTCTCACGGAACCGTTTTGACAGAAACGAGTCGTAGTGGTCACAGCAGTAGTCCATCCAAAGGCAATTTGTTTTCATTGCTAAGATGGCGTTGGCGACGGGCAGTGAACGTGCCATACCGCCTGCACGCATAGGCTCTTGTTTGCCTCTACCGTTGCTGCCGCCGCTCCGCTCTGGTGTCGCCTCGCCCGCTACGGAGGCCATCATGAGGAGAATAAGATTGCTGTCGCTACAGAGCATAGCCCCATGCATAATAAGAAGGTGGCGAATAACAGTGATGTGGGGCATGGAGTGAGCCAACGATGGACATTCAAAGAGAGATGTTACTAGCCGCTTGTTGCGCAAGATGGCCTTTGCAATGGGGGTATTAAGGCTCTTAAAGTTGTGCAGAACCAACAGGAGAAAAGGCAATGTACTACTGGTGTCAAAGGCAAACAGAGCGGGGGCGATCATGTTCAACCAACGGCTCTTATGCATCTCGTCCAGGTGCGCCACGTAAATTCCCTCAACCACATCGAGGTGCAGTTCCTCTGCGGTCTTTTGAAGTGAAATGTTGAAGATGGCGGCGACAACGCAGGCAAGTGTCCACCACGTCTTCATGTCACCGTGCTCTATTAAACATTGCATGGCAATACTCACCGCCACCGCATCGGAGTCATTGAAAACGTTAAATGCGACCGAATTATGCGTAGTAAATGTCCCCCTGGCAAAATCATTTGCAAATTGCGGCATAATAGACACAAGTGCTCGTTCCACCTGTTCTCGAGACTCATCAAGAATAACTGGGCAATTGCAAATGGCAAGAACTTGCAAGATGTGCAGCACTGTTGTCCTCGAAATATCTCGACGGGATTCAAACGTTACAGCTTGTTCTTGTGCCGTAAATGAGAGGGAACCGCGACGTATCAGTGGGGTGTAAAGGGAACATACAAATTTCGAAAATAATTCCCAGCAGGGATAATCCCGCACCATGTAAAAGATATACTCAATTTGGTGGGTGATGTAACTCCACTGGGAGGCGGTCATAACGCTGCTCTGTGTGATGAATATTAACCACTCTAACAACAACTCACAACGGTCCATACGATCGGTAGCATCTTGTCCAATATGAATGTTTCGAAACCGAAATAGCGTCATGGTGATCACAATGCAATCTTGTGAAGAGAGAAAAGGTGCAACTTCAAAAATACGTCGCCATGTGGCGGTGTCATAGTCACAACGCAGTACCCCAGTCCCGTGGTAGTTCAAATAAATCAACCGGTCCGGGAAACATTTAATAATCTCCTGCGAAGACCGCATGCAAAACGTACGCCCAAAAAAGCACCCCGTTTCCTCTAACTCTACAATTTTCGCATGGACGCTATAATTGGATCGTTGTAAGACATGTTCGGCATTCCAATTAAACACACGCATGCGCCGTGGGGCCATTAAGTCCATGGCATTCGTCGTTTCTTTTCCCTGTTGAAGTTTAACATATGCCTGCAAGATGCCCTGTCGTAGATCAGGCATCTGATACTGCGTGACACAACAGACCCCATCCGGATTTTGCTCCACATACAGCAGCGGATGCCCAGACTTCTCCGCGCCGCGCACCACCGCGGCAGCCATCTCCCGTCGTTCTGCCTCGTGTTCACCATGCAAAAGGCAGTCAAGAAACATCTGACTATCAAAGCAAGTGTTGCTGCACCGTTGCAGCAAACGCCGTGTGGCGGCACGCAGGCAGTCGCCCCCCAGCAGGGAAAAAAGCATCCGCATGATAGACGCACCTTTGCCAAAGCTGATGGAGTCAAAGCAATCTTCAATAAGCCTTGGATTGGCATTGCAGTACTGCACCGGGTGTGTCTTCTCCGGCTGTGTGTCCAGTACAAGTGCGTCGTCCAGCACCTGCGTGAGGAACTCGTCCCATATAAGCCAATCTGGAAACACGCTGTCAACAAACATGAACTCAAGGCAACGACAAATCCCCTCCCTCATCCATAAAAAGTTCCACCACGAAACGGTCGCCCAGTCACCAACCCATTGGTGGGCAACCTTGTGACCAATAAGCCTAGCAATGCGCTGTCGTCGCTCCAGCGGGGTAGACTCATTCACAAGCATGTAGTCCAAATGCATATTCACCATTCCCCAGTTCCCCATTCCAAGAAAACTAAAACAACGAAGACAGACAAGGTCAAGTTTCTGCAATGGCAAAAGAAAATCAAAGTATTCATCAAAAAAGGCCACAGCCTTGGTAAGAAGATCAAGTGCATACCATCCATGATTCGTTTGTACTTCCGCAGGAAATATAACGCGACAAAGAAGTTTGCTTTTAGTCGTTTCCCTCTCTATAATATAAAATTTCCCTGTATTAAAGCCAACAATGTAGGTGGAGAGCTTTGGTGTCTCATCAAAGGTGACACGACGTATAAAACAGGTAGGGGAATCATTAGAACTGGAAACTAGCGGATCGTTTTTTCGAGAATTTTTAGGAGGATTACATCGTCCTTCTTGTTGGCCTGCGGCCTTCGAAACATTCTCCTCCCCCTCTTCTTCTCCTTCGACAACAACCCCACCCCTCATCTCCGGTGTATGGGGTGCGGGACCAAAGTTGATGTCATTCGTACTCACATTGGCGTATTCATGAGCAATCACACCGTCATCCACGCGCACGACAACATGGCCGACGCCTGTACTGTCCCTATTTATGTTGTTGCTGGTGTCCCTCGCCAGGAATCGGAGGGCGTCCCAAGAGCAAAAAAGTGGAGGATCTCTAAAGCTCGCGGCAAACATCTCCTCATCAACCTCCACAAGTTCCTCCCGCACCACTCTTGTCCCCGAGACAATCGTGTAACGACTGTCAAACTCGACCGTGAGCTGAAAAACGGCACGGTACGAAGGCTCGTCAAAGCAAGGGAAAAGAAGCCGTGCGTTTGTCGGCTCGAGATGGGTGGAGAGAAAGTTCGTGTCGTAACTGTTCGAGTAGAAGAGACCACATGAGGCACCTGAGTCATGAATGAAGCCTGTGAAGTGCGAAAAGCCCACGACAAACACGTCACCCACGTCATTCGGCAAACAGGAGGAAAACTCCAACGTAATGGTCTCATCCACACAAGAAGTGTGCACGGCAACACACCGCAGCTGCTCCGCCTCCTCCGCCTCCGCCTGCTTCTCCACCTCCCCAGAGAGGTCCCGCCTCCCTCTTCTTCCCGGCGATGGCATCACCGAAACGTGTGGGGGTTCTATGGACAGCTCGAGGGCGTGCATCGTCAGGCACCGCGTCGGCGATGCGAGCGGCGCCTCCACCTCCACCGTCACGATGGCAGCCCCAAAAAAAATGCCTTTAGCCGGGCGCGGAGCAAAAAAAAGATCGTAACGGCGAGGAACAAAATTACGGGGAAGCCGAAATGACGCCTCACCATCGCCGCCACCATCACCAGCCGCCTTTTTGCCGCGTTGGTGATGCCGCTGTTCTTTCATATGCGTCCGCCACGCCACGCCACGTACTCCCTCCTCCCACCAATAAAGGGAGAGAAAAAGAGACCGACACAAACAAAGAAAAAAAAAAAAAAGAGGGATGGAATCACACACAAAAAACAAGAAGAAAAAAAAAACGCTTTACAAAAAAAAAAAAAAAGATTCTTTGCGGATGCACACTCACGTGCGTACTTCTTTTTTGTTTGTTTTCTTGATTCTTCGTGCGTATATATATATAGATATAGATATACGTGTGTGTGGGTGTGGGTGTGGGTGTGGGTGTGGGTGTGGGTGTGGGTGTGGGTGTAGGTGTAGGTATGGGTGTGGGTGTGGGTGTGGGTGTGGGTGTGGGTGTGGGTGTAGGTGTAGGTATGGGTGTGGGTCAGTCAATTTCTCCTCACACACGCAGACGCAGACAAGCACACGCCTTTCCTTCAGATTCTTTTTTCCTTTTCTTCCTGTATATGTATATGTCTTTCCTTCTTTCTTTTGTATTTATTGTTTGTTGTTTGGTTTATTGCTGTTATTCCACACCGTCTCTTTTATCTTCTTTTTGTTTGTTTGTTTGTTTGTTTTTTCCTTCCGAGTGCACCTCTCCTCTCCCTCCTTCCACAAATGTATGTATGTGTATGTAAACAGAGATAGAGAGAGAGAGTGTGTGTGTGGTGGGGGGGGGGGGGGG